ACAACAGCTGAGTTCAGGAAGGACTCATTTCCTTTGCTCACTTGATAAACCTGTCCACAGGGTACTTTGCACTGCTGGGGTTAAACTTCAGCAGTGAAATGAGTTGGCTATTTCAGAAAGTTTGGGTAGCCTTGCCACAGTGCTCTGCAGTCTGCAGAACAAGTCCCAGCACCCGCAGCATACCCAACAGTTGGACAGTTGAGGTCCTTGTACATCACTGCGTGGCAGGAAGGCTTTCTTTAGCCCTTCTCGATAGGTGTTCTCTGAATGACCAGCTGCCACCCAGGTGACAGAGCGTTCACCTAGGAGACGGGTGCCCATTGCAGAGCCCTCCAGGCATCAGGTGGACACCAAGGACAGCACCAGAAATCAGGCAGTTACTCCCTGCCTGTTCCTTGAAGGAACAGGAATGGAGACCTGGCATACGGCAGGTGAGACTCAGCAGACACACAGAGGTGGACGCTGGTATTTCCTGCCAAATCCAAGAAGACAGGCAGTTGGACAGGAAGAAAGATGCAAATGAAGGGACGCAACATAGAGAGAGTCTGGTATCTCTGGAATATGCCAGGGATGTGGCACCGGGGCAGATACCTCCAGCTCTCCTACTGCCATGCATTTTCCTTCCCCTGCCCTCCTACAAGCACAGCACCATAAGGCATGGATCCAAAAGTCTTCTATAGATAAGGCCTTGGAGGTTATTTTATTCTCTTCCCGTGTTCAAGATGACATTTTAAGAAAACAGGCCTATACCTAACATTTCCAGGTCCTGCACAACAGCAAAGCTTGCTCTGATGGCCCCATTCACAATGCGTCACCATGTGGAGCATTTTGCATGAAGTCTTTCTGTTGTTTCACCACAAGCCATCTCTATACATACATGTAGGTCACAAGGATTTGGGACTGCTCTGTGGGCCGCCACTGGGAAAAGGTGAGGAAGGCTGAGACCTGTGCTTACTGCACAGGAGTAAAGAGGCTGGCAGATGGTGCTGTTTGCTCATGGACACTGTACCCTGCTGATCCCCTGTTCCTGGATGTCAGAGATGGTGTTGTCTAGCTCCTTGAGCAGGGGCTGGTATAGTTTCATGACAACGCTGGACCTCAGCCCTCATGGGATGCAGCATGTGCACTGGGTGGGAGCTGTTGAGCTGAAGACAAGACGTGTAAGGTTGACATGTCATCAGTGAGATTTGAGACGACTCAGACCCTTAAGGTTGTCTCCAGGCTTAATGATTTGGTCTATCTTTGAGTTGTTAGCAGACCTTCCCTTTGTGACCTCAGGCTCTGAAAGGGCCTTGAAGGTAATGGCCTGGTTTAACAGATCCAAGCATCCATATGGACATGAACTTCTCCTGCACATCATGTCAGCCCCTCTGCTCCCCAGGCACAATGTCAGAAGAGTCTCCTAACATAACAGGGTGCTCTACAACCTGCTGCTAAACAGTACTTAGAGCAGGATGTACTTAGAACAGGAGAACCAGTGCTGAAGGATGATCAGTTCAGGCTGTGTGACAAGACCATGGCTTGTTTCCTCACTCCATCTGCACTGTAGCTGCATGCTGCCCTGACTTCAATACTAGCAAAATTAAAAGAGGCAGTCACCTTGATAGGATATCCTATAGAATGTTCCTTCCTGGGATTGTCACTTGTGACATGGACATTAAGTACAGTGGGAGATATCCCTCTGAAACACATGTAAAGGACAGTCATGCTACTTCCCCCATTTTGTCAAGAAACAGGCTACAAGAAGCATTTTTCAGCAGATGGGAATACTGCTCACTTGTCTTACAGTCCACTGTGTCACACACAGTGAGCTGCTGGGCTTTTCTTCCTTAGCTCATAATCGGAAATAACATTTTAAACACTGACCTTATACTAACCAGCATGAAGCACAAACAAGAGTTCGCATTACCTACTAGCTCTTTAAGTGAGTCTGGAAATAAATCCAGCAGAAAATAAGTGAATTCAATAAACTGCTGTATGACAGATTTCGACATATTTCTTTTCTCATGCATAGACACAGATACAATGTAAAAAACCAATTTGAAATGCATCACTCTCAAAAGAAGGAGATAAAATGGACTTCAGCTTTAGTAGAGCCTTTGTTGTTTGTTCTAACAACTTCAGAGGAATGAAAAAGTGGAACTTTTAGTTGAATTTATTTTTTAATAAGGGTGCTACAGGCAAGGCAGTGGCTCTGGCTCTATGACTTATTTTGCATAGTGGGTTCCTAAATAATATATATCGAGCAGAGGCTGCTGCATTGTAGAGAATGTCAACTCAGGAAGAAAGCAGGAGGTTTTGATATTTGGAGAGGTGCTCTGGTAAATGGGCTTTTGACACTCCCAAGCCAAAGCAGGTTGGCACTGTGGAAATAAAACACATTAGCTCAATGTTCCTGCTAAAGGTACAAGAAGGATATTTCAGCTGTCCCTTCTCAGTTGTAAGAAGCCCAGATGAAAAGATCTGTTCTCGTATCTCCAGTTCCAGGGAGAAATATAACCTGCTTTTTCCATCTTTTCTTTGTGAACTGTAAGAGTAAAACCTAGTTTTAAACTAACCTTTAGGGTTTGGACCGTACCTCTATGCTAAGGACCAAAATCTTTACATAGGGAATCAAAGCTCCTACTGCAGAATCTACTCCTTCTTCTCCCTGCAGGACTACTTTTTTCTACAACCACTAACATCATCCCCAGTCTACTCCAGTCCAAAGGCGTTGGAGAAGAGCCTTGTGTGATTTATGATAGTCAACAAATTAATTTCTAGTTACTACCTGCACTAGGTAGTAATTCATTCATACTGCTTTTTTTCAAGCTGAATTAGAACTCCAAGTATATTCTATTGCATACAGTGAATCTGTATGTGATTCTATGATCCTATGTGGCTAAAGTTAAATGTCACTACGTAAGTGAAACATAAATGGAGCTGCAGTGGTGGTGCTGCCAAGCGGCAGGCAGGATGGTATTGAGCCTCTGCTCTGTCATAGTTCTGCACAAGATGCTGTACAGTGCTCTCACAAACTGTCAGGGCCCTGAGGACACTATGAGGTCTCAATGGCCCCGACCAGCATCACCCAGTACCTCAACTGGTACTGGAGGCCCAGCTGAGCTCAGCCTGGGGCACCGGGTCCCTGCCCAAGCTGTGCTGGGGGAGTGCTGGTCCCCAGCTGAGCCACAGCTGAATATTGACTTCAAACACAAACGTGAAGCAGCATGGCTGTCAGTTCCTCATCTGCTCCCTTTCCAAAAGGTGTCTGAAAACAGAGAAACCAGCAGCCTTTTCCTGATTGCAGCTGCACTGACAGCAATAAATTTAATTATTTTTTTTCTTCTTGATTAGTCAAAGTTCACAGGAACTACATCAACATTTCAAACCAGAAGGAGCATAAAGACACTTCAGCAGCTTTCAAAAATCAGTATTTTGAAAGGTATATTATTTAATGAAAAATGTAATACTTACTACCCCAGCACTTTCCTTCAAAACCATCCAGAGTCTCTGTTATCCTGAGTATCTGAGTATGTACTATGTTAAAGAATGCATAATTAAATGATACCATAGGACAATTGCCATGCAACTTCATCCTGGCAATGAACAATAAAGAGAAAATCTTCAGCTGTACTAATGGGAAGAGATAGCTCCCACTGAGTGTACTTAAAGTCATCTTATTTTAAATGTTGGACCTTACTTGGGTATCTGCCTTACACTGAGGATGAACTGCATTCTACAAATGCTTGAATTTTCTCCGTTGTCCAGACAAGAGTCAAAGAAACCAGCCCAGAAAGAGATTTATTTTCTTTAGGCATTTACATTTGAACAAATGAATCTCACTCCAGCCACAAAAAAAACCCCAAAATGACCAACAACAAAACCCAAACCAAACCAAACAACCCCCAGACTCAAACAGTTGGCAGTTCAGACCTTTGAAGTCTTGCTGTACTGCTTAGAGCCTTACAGGTCTTGGCACAAATCCTAGACAAGTAATTTAAAATGCACTGACAGATCACTGATGTAAACCTTGACTAGTGCCAGGTCTGCCACTGATCCCAGCAGGAATCCCTCTTTCCCACTGACAACCATCTTATAAGGGGGTTTTTAGGTCCAATTCACATAATACATGCTCGACTGATACTGGGAGCTAATATTTGACTCCACATGTCAAGTAGCTGCAGATGTTGCACAGCTACATAGCATAGTTGTTCTATGCTACATTTATTAACCTCTTAGTCAGATTTGTACTTTCCTCAAAGAAGGAAACCAGGGATGTTTGACAAAACCTGTTTTCCATGGGCTGCCACAGAGTGCATCCATTAGTACCTTCTAGCTCAGCCTCCCCTTCACTGTGGCTCCTAAAACCTGCATTCCCCTCTGCTCCCAGAGTCTCCCTGAGCCAAGAATTCTCTCAAAGTCCCTGTCCCCACACCCTGGTATCCACGATCCCGTCATACGGTAGCACATCATCTCCAGCCCCATGCTTTTCTCTATGCCTTCTTTCCTCTCTTTACCTTGAGCACATATCTTTGTGGCACACGTACAACAATGTTCAGCTGGAGATTAAAAGAAGCATTCCCTAATTCCCTACCTTGTATATATGGAAAAAAAAAAAAAAAAAAAAGAGTGCACAAATACTTTTTACCTTTCCTTGATGTTCCATGTTCCTTGCATTTCTCCCCTCTGTTTGCCCTGGCTGTTCCTAATGCACTTCCTTTGGGTACAGCAATTGCTTGATTTTCCTTTCTAATGCTCCTTGATACTGAAGACATGGTGAGGGATGGAGCAGCAGCAAGATCACAGAGGTGTGGTTATCCTGACTTGTGTAAAGATATTGCCACTAGGAGAGTCCTCCGACATCTGGCTATGGATCAAGGGCTTTAAGCAGCTCCTCACTCAGCTACAGCAGGAAACCCAGCCCACCAGCTACAAGCATTTTGCAGGTCTCCTGTCTGTGTAACATACTCACTGAACTCAAGCTCATTGTAAATAGATTACTGGGTAGCATTGCTCACCATAGATTTTCTGAATTCCTTGGAGGTCATCCTGGGGCAGTTTGAAGTTGTGTGTTTCCATATACTGGTAGAAAGGAGCCATGATAGCACTGGGATCATTGGAGTGTTCCAGACCTAGCGCATGTCCCAGCTCATGAACTGCAACCAGAAAGAGATCATTCCCTGTGGAAGGAAGGCACAGCCAGGTTAGTCCAAAGCCCGATGCAATCCCAAGCCCACTCACTCATAAAGCAAGAAGCTTTACAAGTGCTTTGCTATCCTATTGCACAGCAGGTCACAGTGCCAGGGCCAGCTCCTGCAGATGATTTTAGTCCTGAAAGTATGTGCAACTTTTACAGTCATAGTCACAGAATGGGCAGGGGGCTACTAGCCCGTGACCACCCGTGATCATGAGCATCCTCAGACCAGGTAAAACAGGCAACTGTCTGGAGTGAAAGAATACCAACTGTAGATTCTTGTGCAGAGAGCTTACAGAAAATGGCCACCAAAACTGGCTGCTCCAACACCACTGCCTCTGAGTGCTGCCAGAGAGGTGCACACACTGCTGCTCTTCAGTTCAACAGGGGGCCATGGTGGGAAGGGAGCTTTGCTCTGATCAGAGCCATGCTCTGATCTGATCTGAACCACCAAATCCTAGGGGAAATCTGTAAGGCACCTAGCAAGGCAGAAGGAAGGCTAGAGAACACCAGGAATAGCACCCACCGTAGAATGCGTAGTACCTGTGACAACCCCATCTCCTCTAGCACATGCCTCTCAACATGCTTTTATATTGCTGGACTTCTGGCACTGCCATGTCTGTGGGAGGAGGCAAGCACAGGTAGCATACTCCTGGAGAAGTCAGAGCCACATAGGGAAAGGTTGGATCCCAATGGCAGAGGGGAAAAGAAGAAAGGAAGAAAGAAGGGACATGCTCCGGACAAGAACAGAAAGGGCTGAGGAGCCCTGTCTGGCCCAAAAGCTGGTGGAAGTGCAAAGCAGGAGTACCTTCAACTGTATGTTACAGGCATACACTCCTCTTCAATGCCATGGATCTGGGACCCTCATCTCCTTAATCTAGTGTGGTCCCTGGATGTCCTGCTTCATGAGGGCACCTTGTCATGGGAGGTGACACAGGCAGTGCTGTGTAAGGGATGAAGACACAGCCAACAAGGACAGATGTAAGAGTCTCCCCATGTCAATAAAATGCCTGAGCCCTCAGTTCTGCCTGAATTGGGCTTCTCTGCTTCTTTTGCCAAGGCAAACCCAAGACACAGGAGAAAACAGTTGGCAGTGGCAGCTCAGGAGCTGCTTTGCAGCATCTCCAGTGTCTCCAAAGTGCACCTATCTTAGAGGTAACAAAGCTCAGTTTTGTGTACACAGCTGAGCAATTCTTAAGACAGAAGTTATAACAGCAATTCATGTACAACTATCTATACTTTTTAAATACTTGTTTCTTTACTACTACCCACAAAAGCATGACTACGTAGATTCAGGTCTGCAAGTTTCCTCAACAGGGTGCTTTGCCAGCATCTCAAGATACCTAGTCAGTAACAAACAGTGCTCAACTGGTCATACGCACCACACCAACATAATTAAATTGTCTAAGTGTTTGAGCTGAAGGGAGTAAATACCTGTATATGCAAGATATGTTAAAATACACAAATGCATTTCAAATACATGTCCAAATACACATGTCCCAAACTGTAAGTGGGCTAAAATTTAGCCATAACTGTATTAAAATTCCAGAATTCCTGTATTTGGGAAATCCAAATGGGGACTTCCTTATTTTTTCTCATCTGGTGCTGAAAACTTTGGTGTATGCAGATCAAGTAAATAAAATGTCCAACATCATAGTATAAGATGCATTAAGCATGAAGCTCCTTTGATTCTCAAAGCTGTGGTTGCTTCTCATTTCAAGCCCTTGCTGAAAGGCAGTAGAAGGCAGTAGCAGACACAGCTCCCTTTCCTTCTTCCTCCTGCCCTGGCCAAAAATGTCTCACCACTGTGTCAGCCCCTCATCTTTTTTTGTTCTAGTCTTATCCCAAACATATCCATTGTTCTCTTCCTTCCAGCTTGCCCATGTGCCCATGTAATCTGAATTCTTCACCCTACTATAGAAAAGGTCCCAAGTCTGAAAGCAGTTCAGTCATTCTCAGGGTGTAAGTGGACAGCATACATTTCATGGGAAGAGCAGACAGAAGAAAAAAAATCCAAGACCCTTTTGTAAGCACAAAATGCTCAAACACCCACCTCTAGATTTATCATCCTATTTCTCTTGAGGGGTCAGTTCCCTGCAGAGGTCAGAAACACCTGATTTTATTGCAACAACACAGAGAACACTGTAGTCAGATAAACAGATTTATGTATATTTATGTCATATACTGCATCCCTCATGCTTCTTCAATTTTCATCTTCAGCTGGAAAAATGGCTGTTAAATCAGGAAACAGGTATCTTGAGAGAGGTTTTCTTTGTGAAACTCCTAGCATGTGCCTTCATGTACAGTTTCATTCATTTTAATTATGAAAATCCATACACAAACCTTTCCCTTACTTTACTAACTCAATGCATAACAGGATACCCAACTGCCATTCAACCCACTCCAACACCTATCATTTACAGTAACAGATCACAGCAATACTGTTATAGCAATGTTGTAATATTACTATCAATATTTATCCCTGAGCATAACACCTGTAAATACAGCTGCAATGAGTGTAGGTAGACTCTTGTAGAGCACCTAACACAGTGGACTATAAATCCAGGACAGAGCCTCTAAGACCACAGAAGTACACATAATATTGCGTATCTGATTACTAATAGAAAAGCAACTCTGAATCTCTGAGCTTTGTCATATTAGTGCTATACTTTATTAACTGTATCATCATGCTAACACATCTATGTACTGCAGTTTACTCAGACATAACTAAAAAGACATATGAAGGTTAAATTTTGAGATTTTATTAAAGAATATACTGAAGAAGTCGGATCATTGGCTGTGACAATAGCAGGCCTAGGATAATTACAGAAAAGATGGTGCGAACTAAGCATGCTTTAAATATACTAAAACAATTCCTTCCTCTCCAACAGCCATGTAGAAGCAATTGTTTCCCAAGCACAACTTAAAGAAGCTTTAGGGCTACTCTAAGCTATGCCTTGGTTCTTGCATCTTCAGACCTCATAGAACATCTCAGAAGAACATCTGATTTGTCTGTACTCCTCCATTCACCTCCAAAACACGCTCTGCTCAAGAAAAGCTTTTCAATCTTCTAAAGACCCTGAAGAAGTGGTGATAGTGCTCTTCCATTTGTTTGCATTCGAATGAGATGTGGAAAACAGCTATTCTACCTAGAAAAGAAGAAAATACACGTTAAGAAGAAATACAGATTTCATTTTATTCATGAACAGTAGTTGTTGTAAATGTAGTAACTGGTACAATGCCTCTTACAGACTTCATGAAAACTCTTAAAAGTGCTTTAAGAAGGCTCACTGGAGAAAGAAGAATGAGTGATATGCACTCATAACAGAAACTGGACCACAGCCACCTTAACAAATTGATCTCCATGAGATCAAGTGACTACAAAAGGACAAAGACCTCCAGAACCCCATTCGTTACCAATCACCATCAAAGATGGGTAGTTTGTCCTCAAAAAGACTGTGTGCAAACTAGACCTGCTATCCGTGTTACAGACCTGATTCACATTGCAAGCTATGCTTTATCTGCCATGGCTATGAATACGAGGGCTATCTGCTGCAGAAATTCACAAGAAAAATATAAAGCATTCTTCTGGAATGGTGAGACCAAAACTGTCTGAGTGATATGGAGGAAAAAGTGGGCAGCCAGAGAGAGGGGAAGTCGTGACTGCTTCAGCTGGCTCAGCAGCCTGACATTCAGTGGAGTAAGAGTGTACTGTTGAAAAATGTTCCCCTGTCTTTCACAAGTGTAGGTTGTAATTCAATAACAATTCAATATCAAAGAATTTCCAATCCCACTATGAAAACTCATATTTGCCTGTATTAGCATATCATTCCCTAATTTGGTAGAACAGATGGTAAAGACAAGAAAATTCTCATAAAACTATGGAAAATGTAGATATGACTTTCATTCCATCACTCTTGAAAAGAACTTATGCTGGTGGCTTTGTTTTACAAGTATTTAAATACAGCAGGGTCTACAAGACAGAATTCAATGCCTGACCCAGATGTGGTGCAACCCAAAGGCAACCACAAAAAAGATTTGGAAACGGTCTGAAGGCTGGCGCAGTGTGTCCCAAACAGGTCCTGGCATAGGCAGTATGGATACAAACCACTCTGAACTACTTGGGATTCTTTTTTGCCAGTCCAGTTGCAATCACATTTATCTCCTGGTGTCAGCAACAGAGAAAGTGATGTTCTGGAAGCTCTGAGAGTTGCCCTTTGCCACAAAGAGAGTGTTTTCTATCTAGAAAAGGAGACTTCCTGTCTTTGTTCTCCCCTGACACAGAAGGTTCCTCATGAGGCTTTAAGGACTAAATAGGACTGAGAACCAAGATAACTGGGATGGATGAGATATTCCCCCCTCAAAGTGGTATTCTTGGTGGATTTAGGTAGAGAACGCAAATTAAACTGTCTGCAAATCTTCTGCTCTTTTTTTTCTCTCCCATTTCTGAAGAAAATGAGTTTAAACAACTCCCAGGTTTGCTGCTCTGCTGCATTTTGGCTTGCTTCACATCCTCTATTTCTGCTTTATAAAGGAAGACAGAAAGGCTCACCTTGATTCTCATGACCTGCACTTTAACTGTTGGGGTTTTTTCTTTTTTTAAGGAAATGACACAACTTTGATCCTTACTGGTTCCTCCCTATGAATCTCAGAGTATCTTATTCTCTGTGGAAAAAAGTAAAATATTTTACTTTGATTATACAGATATCAACAGGATTCCAAGTACCTACAGAACTGTCTTCATATTCTGTATATTAAATGTTTACTGACAAAAGCAGTAGTTTTCTGTATAAAACACTCTGAACATCAGGAATAGTTACAAATTCGCTGCTTTGAAATGGAATTTACAGGTGATCCTCCTCAATGAATTTCAGCAATTTATTAATGAATCAACAACCAGCACTGCCAATCCTGCAAAAGGTAAAAATCCAGACTGCCCCAGCACAGCCCTACTGAAATGTCACTTCTAGGTTTGTATAATGACAG